TATATATATATATATATATATATATATATATATTCCTTTCAGAATCTTGAAAAAATATTGACCATAAAAGAATTATTTTGCTTGAATGGTATTGTATAATAATTTTAAAACATAAATATAGATGTCTGTATGATATGATATAAAAATATGACATAATATAATATCATAAGGTTATTAATTTTTATTGTATATAATTAATAAGACCATTAATTTTTTAAAAATATGTTTGACTCAACTTTTTTTTTTTTTTTTAAAGAAGAAAACTAAGTAAAATACAAATTCAAAATTTGATAAAAAAAATTGATGTTAAAAGAGTTATTTTGTTTGAACGGTAATGTATATTTATTTGAAAGCATAAACATATATAAGTATGTTTTTAAAATTTAATAAATTGATAATTGGTATTTTAAGAGATTTTCTCTGAACGTGTTTCACTCAACTTCTTATTTTAAAGTCAAAAACAGAAAAGAAGCCAAGTCAACCACAAATCAACGTATGACTACGTCATTAATTACGTGGAGGTGAAACCGTGTGAGTCCCCTCCCCATTCCCATTCGCATGCAGCCACTATACTATATAAGAAACTTCATCCTTTCTCTTCTTAAGATAATAAGATCATTGCCATCGCCACCTTATTTTCTCAACAATGGCAGATTTCTCAACTCAAGCACCCTCGAGCTCACCCTTATTTTCTCCTTACAAGATGGGAAAATTCAACCTCTCTCACAGGTCACACACTCTTTTAATTCATTACTTCCTGAATACAATTTTCTTGTAATATGCATATGGTTTGTGATTCCATATGAATTTTTATTAGTTCCTAATAGAAGTTAATCACTGCATAACGTGTGTATTAATTATGTTAGATGGATTTTGTGTAGGGTTGTATTGGCTCCGATGACGAGATGCAGAGGGTTGAACGGGATTCCACAGGCAGCACATGTCGAGTACTATGCTCAAAGATCAACACCAGCTGGACTTCTCATCACTGAAGGCACCTTGATCTCTCCTACTTCTTCTGGGTACTCTTCTAATCTCTTCCCACAATTTTTATTTTCACTAATTAATACATTTTTCTTTTATGGGCTACTCCATTTGTCTTTGTAATCATATTTAGAGTATTCAAAGATTGTATTAGATCCATTTTCTAATACAATTTGAAAATGACACGCACGAAACACGACCAAAAGTCAAAGCTCATTTTTTAATTATAAAATGTGTTTGGACGGAATAAACCGTTCGTGTACATGCAACGAAACATTTTCCTACAAATTAACAATTCGTACCGACCACCATTTTCCCTTTTGTTATTTGATAATTAAATATTTTTTATTTATTATTTTAATGGTTATTCACCAAATAGTGATCAATAAAAGTATAAAATCGATTAATCAAACCCTTATTTTAAGCTTCTAGAAAAAAAAAAATAGCATCACTAATATTTAAATGATTTTCATTATCAGTTGAATTGGTATAATAATTAGATTTTTTTTTCTTTGAAGAATAAAGTTCAAACATTATTAGAGGAAAAAATATATTTATTTTGATAAATAAAAATATTCTAATAAAAATAAAATTTGTTCTAATCCTTAAAATATGTTACTAATATGTAAGTGGTGGTTTTGGTGATATACAAATACAGGTTTCCTCATGTGCCTGGAATATACACAGAGGAACAAGTGGAGGCATGGAGAAATGTAGTTGATGCCGTGCATGCCAAAGGCAGCATTATCTTTTGTCAACTTTGGCATGTTGGTCGTGCATCCCATCAAGGTATACATATATATATATTACTATTAGTCTTCATTTTATATTTTTTACATTTTAGCGTAATTGATTTTAATCGGTTATAAAATACAATGATAATTTCATAGATTTTGCATTGAAGCATACATGTTTGTGTATGAAAAATTGATTCTTAATATAATCCAAACGTGTTGGTCAGTTTTGCAGTTAAGTTTTGATTATATGACATTCATTTTGGTACTTTGATTGATTGCTTTACTTGTTATGCAGTGTATCAGCCTAATGGGGATCTTCCAATTTCGTCGACGAGCAAAGCTATATCAGAGAAGTGGAAGGTTCTGATGCCTCATGGGTCTTTTGGTGCGTTCTCTGAGCCTCGTGCACTGAACACTTCTGAGATATCTCAAGTAGTGGAACATTATCGCCAAGCAGCAATTAATGCAATTCGAGCAGGTTCATTACTTTCTTTCACTAACATCAACTTTATTCAATTCTTGTCGATCTCTCCTCTCCTTTTTAATTTTTATGTGACACAAATCAAACCTTTTTATTAGAACTAATGTAAAATGTATACTAGTAGTTAAATAGGCTAATAAAAGGTACTGCATGGAGTATTTGATAAATTATCAAAGCATATATGAAGAAATTAATGTGACATATACACAGGTTTTGATGGAATTGAGATTCATGGGGCACATGGGTATCTCATTGATCAATTCCTAAAGGATGGAATCAACGATCGAACCGATGAATATGGTGGATCACTAGAAAACCGATGCAGGTTCTTAATGGAGGTGCTAAAGGCTGTTGTTTCTTCCATTGGAGCAGAAAGAGTTGCTCTCAGAATTTCACCAGCAATTGATTTCCTGGACGCCTTTGACTCTGACCCACTTGGGCTAGGCTTAGCAGTGATTGAGAGACTCAACAGTTTCCAACGAGAAGTGGGGACAAAACTCACTTATCTTCATGTTACTCAACCTCGGTTCACACTTCTCGACAAAGCCGTGTCAACAGTGAGTGAAGAGGAGAGAGATTATTTGATGCAGAAGTGGAGAAAGGCTTATGAGGGAACATTCATGTGCAGTGGTGGTTTTACTAGGGACTTGGGTATGGAAGCTGTGGCTCAAGGCAATGCTGATTTGGTATCCTATGGTCGTCTTTTTATCTCCAATCCAGACTTGGTTTTAAGGCTCAAGCTTAATGCACCTCTAGCCAAGTATAACAGGGACACATTTTACACCAACGATCCAGTTGTTGGCTACACAGATTATCCTTTCCTTGCCAAAGCAAATGAGACAGATTAAGTAGCTAAGGGCATGTCTTTAATTTTAATGTTTGTTGGCTTTTTTAATATGGATGTTGTAATCTATAATAAAGGCATATGAAAGATTTTTATTTGTATATTTTTAATGAATAATTTATATTTATTTTATTATTAAACTTCATTTGTATTTTCTCTCTCTAAATATTATGTTACGTTAAAGTTTAATGATTAATTGAATTCAACTTTATTATGAATTCACATTAATATTTACACAAATACACATTGTACAAATATTGCTTCTTAGACAAAGTTTAACAAATTAGCATTTTAATATTGTTAGTATATGAGTGCTTTGTGTTTCCCTAAACTTGGAAGATAGAAAATTTCGTGATTCCATTGCAACCACCTAGAGATAGAATATCATGTGACCCACACTCTTGTCTGCCAATGGTGACTGTACCTCTCTTAACTCAATGTGAAAATTTACACAGATGACTTGTCTTAAGACATTAGAGTTATAGGGTCTTAATGTGAAAATTTACACAGATGACTTTTACATTAACACTTTAAAAGAAAAATTGAAATAAATTTCTCTATAAACTAAAATTAGTTTATACAAAAATTACAAACAAAATTTTGGATAAACCTATAGAATAAAATTTTTATAAATTAATTTATGTATAAACTAATTTTAACTTATAAAAAAATTTATTTTATTTTATTTTTATTTTTCTCTTTTAGAAGTGTTTTCCAATAAATTTACTTACACAGTTCTACGGTGCATATGCTCTTCTAGTACATATCAGACAAAATTTAATCATCCTACACGTCCTGATATTTCAATTGTCAATTCAATCAATTCCTAACGTCAGTTACCACATGGTAATTCATTTTCTTTCTGCTAGACTGTAGAATTCATTCATAGTTTTTGGTAATTCATTTGGAAAAATGGAAGACGTAGGTAAGGAACGTGCATGGCAGCTCATCAGTAATTTGTACACATATGAGAGACGTACAACTTTTTCTTCAGACGTCTATTTTGGGTCCAAATATCTCTGAAAATTTACCAGTCATGCAACGGTTCTCTTGGCAGAGACACAATCGACAAGAACATTCACGTTATGGCAATGCAAGTGATGTGAATGCCACCCTTTTCTTGAATATGGAAGGGAGTGAATGGCCACTGTTGATTCGTCAATGAGAACCTTATCCTTAGTATTATGAGTAACGGTGGAAAGGACCAAGAGTAAACCAGAAAATTAAATTCTAAGGATTGCTAATAATATGATTAAAATTATATTCAGATTTTCATTCTTGAGTTGCATGACAGGGGACACAAGTAGACTTTTTAACAGGTTCCGTAGAAGATAGGGAGTTTAAGGTAACCGCATATATATGTCCTAGCTTATATACACGCAAACACCAAGACTTGCAGACGGGTTATGGGTCCTTCTAGCTGTCAAAATGTCTTTTTATGCCCTCAATTTTCTCCTTTTGGAATCTGGTTGTGGACCACATGTTCTTCATTTTCAGATTTCCTTAAAGTTTTTGGAATATACGACACAACCTTTTAATGTATTAGTTGAACAGTATACGTGAGTCATAGTAATTATGACTTTGTTCGGTTTAATAAGTATAGAGTAGAAAAGTAGAATAAGTGTGAGTCCATTTATCTTCTCGAGCTAGCTCATTTGAATAACATAAATAGTAACACAAATTATCACTCACATTGATTTTGTGATTTCATCTGTTTGGTTACTTCATCTAGACACAACTTGAGATGAGGAAACATAACACTGTATGTCCTCAATGGAACTGTAGTTGATGAAAATTGATTGTAGATAATGCATAAAAGCAATCTATTGGTTGAGTAGTTGATAATGTAAAGGTTTAGGAAAACGAAAACGAAAATATACTTGGATACAAAATACAGTAACTAGATGAAAATTTGACAATGCATTTAAATTTTATTGTGTCTAAATATTACATTTTCACTTAAACCCTTAAACCCCCGATGCTTTTACTGTTATCTCTGTTCATTACTAAGTTCTGCACAAATATCAATATGAATATTGCCACGCGGATGGTTGTTCAATGTCTACTTAAAGACAGATTGAACCAGGATTGAAAAGAACTACATTAACCAAAAAGAGATTTGGGTCAGTACAAATAATCACGCATACAAATTAGAGCACTATATTGCTTGAAGAAATAATATCTTCTACAGTATAAGCAGATACTTGGAAGATGCCTGTGTTCTTTTACATTCAAACAAAAAGTAGGTTCTTGTTGTTATTCAGGGAAAAAGTTGACATTCACATGCATCAATCCTAGCTCAACTTCTGTCGTTTACAGCCATAGGTGAGAAAAATCTATCCACGTTAAACCATATTGAAACAACTCAATGGCCATGGTAAAAAAGAGGTCCATACCCTCCCCTCTAATAATATATAATATAACCAAACCCCTTATCAATACTGCTTCAAGTTGAGTAAGAAACCAATCTACAATAAGCGATGATTCTCATTATCTCCCTCATTTTCTCTCTTCTCTCCTTCTCCCATGCTTCTGTCCTAGATTTCTGTGTTGCAGATTATGCAGCTCCTATTGGCCCTGCAGGATACTCCTGCAAGAAGCCTGCAAAGGTCACAGCTGATGATTTTGCCTTCAGTGGCCTTGGCGTTGCTGGCAATACCTCAAACATCATCAAAGCTGCAGTGACCCCTGCATTTGATGCTCAGTTTGCTGGTCTCAATGGCCTTGGCATTTCTGCGGCACGTTTGGACTTGGCACCAGGTGGAGTTATTCCACTCCACACTCATCCTGGTGCTTCAGAATTACTTGTTGTAGTACAAGGGAGCATCTTGGCTGGATTCATTTCTTCTGACAACACTGTCTACCTCAAAACTCTTAAGAAGGGGGATGTTATGGTGTTCCCTCAAGGCTTACTGCACTTCCAAATCAACGCAGGTGGTTCTCCAGCCCTGGCAATTGTAAACTTCAGTAGCTCCAATCCTGGTTTACAAATTCTGGACTTTGCTTTGTTCAAAAGTAATTTCCCCACACCATTGATAGTAGAAACCACTTTCCTTGATGCTGCTCAGGTGAAGAAGCTTAAGGCTGTTCTTGGAGGCACAGGCTAAACCATAGGAAGTTATCCGTGAAACAGACTGAACTCAAGCATGTTGTATCTTATGTTTAAGTTTATTTATTGCCTTGGTCTACATTTTGGATTTACCATGCATGTGTAGGTAGGACTCTTCTTTTAGCAGGATTAGTAGTTCAGTAATAAAACCTTGTCCGATCTGGCTTTTGGAGTAATGTTTATTGTTATCGAGTTTCATTTTATGGCAGATGATTCTGTACTTGAGAAAATTGCGCTATAAGATGAATTTAATATATGGCCTTTTCTCGAGTATATATATTTGAGGAAATAACACTGATATCATTAAGGTTTCGCGAAATTATAAATAAATTCTCTGTACTAACTCTCCATAATTGTTTGAAATACACGACACTTTACACATTATATTTATCACTTTAAATGTTTAAAAAACATTGCAACATATCCCCTATAAGGGATGCTGCTGTAAATATTAAAAAAGTGGGATAATTATGCGCAATTTATGAGAAATGATTGTAAAACATCTTTTCTAATACTCACTTGCAGTTGTAATCCAACAATTTATTAATCTTATACTTTTAGAAAACTCGTTTCTAATTACATAGGCCTTACAATATTAATAAAGAACGTTATGCAATAATAAAGAATGTTTTGTTAACATTTTTTTATTTTTTATAAATTTGTAACGAAATGGAGCAAATGTTTGAATTTGACCAAGATCTTAATACTATTTTAGATTAAACTTATGCTCAATCTTCAACTCACAATAAAACATATGGATTAATCACAATTAACCACAACATTGCTAGCAAGACAATTTCTAAAAAAAATTTCACACCTTTTATTATTTAGTAAATTTCTATATACAAATTATTTTTTTAGTTTGATAAGGAAGTATAACTCCTTCCTATTAGGTCAATCTCTATAGAAGTAAAGTAATAGCTCCTCTCACGACTCCATACTCCTATAGGAGTATATAGGACCTACTAAATGTCTCTAAAATTTGCTTATTTGATAAAATTTACTTGAAACTTTATTTAATGAACACCACGTGAATTGTAACACTCATGTTTTGATGTGTCTGTTTTATAAGAGTTGTATTGTGTGTTAGGTTGGATCAACTAAAGGAAAGTATAAAAGGGTTCTTCTTAAGTTTTGAGTTTATAACTCAAGTTTTTGAACTCTAGAAAGAGGAACTAGAGAGAGGTTTCTCTGAGTGGACCTTCCCCTTATGCTTCTTCCTTTTTGGTTGAGAAACCCTTTTCTTCCTTACATATAGCTGATCAAAGGTGTGGTAGTGAGGATTCTGAGTTGGTGAAGCTGAGGATCTCTTCCAGTAGTTGTATGAAACTCGTTGTGTTCTTCGTTCCTCTTGTCGGTTCCAAATTGTCAACGAGGTAAGGGCAATTGCATTGTTTTCGTGCGGTATGCATATTGATTGATACCTATCTAAATCCCTAATTTTGTGTTGTATTATTGGATTTATTGGTGGCTGAGTTGTGGGTCACAAAGGAGATTTAGGGTTTTGAATGTTCTCTTGAGTGAGTTGAGCAAAAGTGGATAATCTTGATGCCTTGATGGTTGCATGTGTTGTTTTTGGTTGACAATGAGTTGAGAATGTTGCATATATATGAAATTTGAAGTTGCATGTGGTTGATTTCTAAGTTCCATGAGTGAATTTGAAGTTTTGCAGTTGAATAATAGTGATTTTTCTTGTTCGAGCTGAGCATTACTCTCGATATTGAGCATCAGGCTCACAAAAATTTAGGAGCTAAGCATTGCTCTCAATGCTGAGCATTGGGCTCACAAATATTTAGGTGTTGAGCATCGCTCCCAATGCTGAGCATTAGGCTCAAAAAACATTAAGAGTTGAGCATTGTTCCTAGTGCTGAGCGACAAATTCTCTGTTGCTCCCCCCTATTCCTCTTAATGAAATTGACAACTAAAGGGGTTTTTTAAAATTGTAAATCTTTGGCTCACGGTGAATTCTTAATATATGGTTGCATGTTGCTTTGATTGGAAAATCTTGATGTATATGTATGCTGATATATGATGATGAATGCCTATGTTGAAAGTTGATAGATGAATTGATGATGTTAAGATATAAATTGTATATTGATATATGTTGTATGATGTTTTAAGTTGTCTTATAGTTGAATAAGGATATATGAACTATATGATGGATGATGTGTATGATAATAATTATGTTGTTAAGATGAAAGATGGTTTATGGATATGTTGCATATGCTATGAGGTGTTATAAACTAAATGGTGTAAGTTATAAGAATTGTATGATACTAAGTTGTTGGAGATATGCGATAAAAATGATATGTTGATAATTACCATGTTTGTAAGTTGATGCTATATATGATGGTGTCCATGTTGAAAGGTGTAAGTCAATTGATGTTTGAGTTGTATGAATTGTAAGATGCTAAAGTTGAACAAGTTGAAAGGTGCAAGTCAATTGATGTTTGAGTTGTATGACTTGTAAGATGCTGAAGTTGAACATGTTGTTAAGTTTAAGTTGTACAATAAGATGATATGTTGACACCCATGAAGTTTGTAAGTTGATGTTGTATGTGATGAAGTATATGATGTAAATTAGTATGTTGATAGAATGTTATAGTTTTAAGTTGATAAATTCTGAAAGGTGTATTAAGTTGTGTGATGTAAGTTGATTTATTTTAAGATGAGTTGTGATGTTAAGTTGTAAGATGAAAGATGTTTAAGTTGTAAAGATGTAAAGTTGTTAAGTTGTAAGTTGAAAGATAATTAAGATGTGAAACTGTACATTGTTTCTAGCTTTATGCTAACCGTTATTTCTAGTCTTGTGCTAGCCATTGTTTCTAATCTTAGTGTCGGCCACTGTCTCTAACTTTATGGTAGCCACTGTTTCTAGCCTTGTGTTCGTTAGCCTTAATGTTAGTCATTGTTTCTAGCTTTATGCTAGCTAATGTTTCTAGTCTTGTGTTAGTTGTTGTTCTTAGCCTTAGTGTTAGTTGCTATTTTTAACTTTATGCTAGCTGTTGTTTCTAGTTCCATTCTAGCCGCTATGGGAGATCTCTATAAGTTGATATACATGACGACACATCAGTTGTGTGTGTGTATATATGTATGGGTGTGTTTAATCTATGTTGTTCTGTTGAAGGTGTTGGAGTGGATGATAGTCGAATGAGTGTTTGTGTTGTTCTATATTGTTGGTGATATGTTGATGACATAGACATTCATTCTGTCTAGTGACATGTATATGTATATATTGAAAGTGGTTAAGTTGAAGGTGTAAAAATGTATAGGCTACTATATGGTGAAAGTTGTGAGTCTGATGTTATTTGATGACTATGTGTTATATAGCATCCATAATGAAGTTGCTTAAGTTGTACAAGTTGTTTGAGTGTGTTAAGTCGTGTTGTAAAATTATTATAAGGTGTATTAAATGATGTTTAAGTTGTGTATGTTAAAGGTGTAAAGATGTATGAGTTGCTATACGATGAATGATGTGAACATAATATTATATAAAGACGATATATTATTTGATAACTATGATAAAATTATTTAAGTTGTACAGGTGTTTGGGTACTTTAAGTTATATGACAAGACAAGATATGTTGTAATGAATAATGTTCCTTTTTAAATTGTTTATGTTGCATGTTGTTGCATGACATTACTTTTTATTGCAAGCTCTGTGTTTTTCCTTTCCTTGTGATTTGGGACTATTATGATCATATTTGATATGAGAGTAGGACAAGATTAGTGGACTAAGTTATGTTGTTCGATGGTGAGTCACACTGGAGGTAGCTTTCTTTTAGATGTTGTTATCTTAAGATAGTTAAGTCTTGTTCAGACGTTTGACCGACAACTATATTTATTTTGCATACAATAGTTATTTCTTTTGCATGACTTTTGCATGAAGTATGTATATATGTTCAGGAACAGGAAGAGTTGTGGTTTTTATTTCCTACATATATGACTACTTGCATAAGATTTACCTACTTGTTACATGATATCCTAGGTAGATATTTGACGTTTGTGCTTTCGCTTAGTTGTTGTTGGATGGTAGTAAATGTTGTGACCACGCGAGTCGTTACATGAATTTCACACAATGATAAAGAATAAAAATAAATACATTGTTGACATTATGCTTCTACAGACACCAATTTAAAATAACTTCAGATCAATAATAGCTAAATTTATTTTTTTCAATCTTATTGTACAATAAGAATACAACTTATTCAGTCCATCTCCTTTCCTTGCTATTAATACAAACATTGAATAAAATATAATCGAGAGGGAAAAAAATCATACAAAAGTGTGGTTAGAAATGAGGTTTGCATAAAAAGGTATGGTGTTTAATATCTATTGCGTGTATTGACAGTGGTATACTCTGACCTGTCCGTGCTTGATCCATAATTTAATAGTGCAGCAAAGAATCTCAGTTTCATACCTCCACCTTGGCCAATTGTAATCTTATTCCAATAGCCAGGGAATCAATAGCACCTTTCCAGATATCCCAGTACAATGCTATCTCCACAAGACAGAAGTATTAAAAAATATAACAGCACAGCCACAATGTCTCTTGATTGCAGCTCTGCCATGCCATCATAAGACAGACAACCTTCAGGGAAGTCTCTACTGCTATCTTGTTTCACAAATACATCCTGGAAGAGGATTTGCATAAAAACTTTCCTCCAGCTTTGGAAATTCTCCAGGCTCCCTTGGATATGGAGCACCAATTCGGTCTCCATGCAGCTTTTTTACCTTGGAGCTGAACTTTTTCCATGAAATTTTTCCTTCATCCAACTGATCAACAAGTTTAACAAAATTCATCCTGCATCAACCATTGAAATCAGCTATAGTGAGAATGAACAAGAATCAGTTAACACAGATATAGAGTGCATATCACCAAATCATCATGCTAGAAGTAATAAAGAAGAAATATGTTACGAATTATTACTTGTCTGGATTGATGGTTTTCTGAAAGTTTTCAAAGCGCCTATGACCTTGTACGGCTTTTGCCATATTTCCATCATAAGTGTAAAGAAATACATCACTCTTAAGGGCAACAACATAGTCTATTCCAGCCAACATGTTCTGATGATTCTTGAAAGGACTCAATTCTTCTTCAGAGGACAGAGATGAATGAGAGAAAATATTTGGGAAATCGTCCTCAAGATATTTCATACTTCCTTTTCCGTATGCTTCTCCAGCTACTAGATAAATTCTTGTGTGTGAGGGAAAACCCAATGCTCTAAGTAATAAGGAAGTTTCCCTGGGAGTTAAGGGACAACCTCCAAGCAATCTCCTCTCAGTCCCGTTAATCTCCTTCTCCTTCCAGTGACTGACTTCATATCGCATCTGTCTCAGTTCTTCATCTTCTTCTGCAGTCAAATTGTGACTGCAGCCTGTAAATGCAAGCATATCCTTCTCATATCTATGACAAAGAGGAGATAGCGTAAGGTTAGACGCATAATATTTATTTAAACTTCTTGACTGGAATACAAATATCTTTTTATGAGTTGAGATCATCAACTGAGTCCAAAACTAGGGTAATACTTGGGACTCTTATTCCGTGAGACATCTTATGGAATCTGATTCAATCTGACAGTTACCTAAACTATAAGTGCAGATGATATGCAGAAAATGTTATCTGAAAACGAAGTTGATGATGATTTAATCAAACAGCCAAAAAGCAGCAAAAGAACTGAAGGGTCCAAATCTTCAGTGTAGAACTCAAATCCCATGCCATGCAATCAGATTCTAACACTCACCCACTCAAACCCTTTCTTTTCCATTTCAGATTATCTCCGACAAATTCATATGTATGCAAAACAACAGAAAGTAAAAGAGAGGAAGAAAGAAGATCCAGCCTTAATATTTGTATTAAAATATTAAATTGTAACTTGCCTCAGATGAAGGGCAAGATAAGGATTTCCATTCTGTTGCATTCTAGATACCAATGTATTTCCAAATTCTTCAATTGGAGCAGAATATTTCAATGCCCTGTAATTTACACGGCATCTTAGTTTCTGTATGGAACTTGGAATGCCGTTGTTAGCAAGCCTGGAATCGGTATGAGTGAAATAGATCACTTTGTGCTGATTTAGGAGGGGAAGAACCTCAGTCTTATAATAAGTAACCTGTAAATATGCATTATGTACATATTCAGCTATGGTTATTAGAAACATTATGAAAAGGGACACAATGATATGTGTGCATAAAATAATTCAGGCATTATGACACAGAAATTCAAAATGAATATGATGGCACATACAAGGCTATCATTTGATAGTGATACTTTCATGTTCTTAAAATCAACTGGCTACATAAAAGGCCAAATAGATGGATAGATGGCTGACTTCAATATGAATGCAAAAATCAATTAATCAGACATCTTTCTAGATTTGAAAAAAGTAATCTGAGTAGACAAGTTATGTTGACCTTGGACCAAGAAATTGGAGTTTTTGAGAAAGGCTCAATTCCAGCATAGGCAGGAGGTAATTTCTCAACTATGTGGACATCATCCTTCAGCATATCAATAAAATGCTTCCAATCAAACAAATCCTTGAAGCCACTGCAAATATATTAAAACAAATTAAGTTTTAGACCACAATAAGTATTAAACGAGAGAATGGAAACACATCACTTGATAACAGTGAAATTTGAGAAAATGATAGCAAAAGGGAGAACATATAAATGAGAGATTAGGGAAACCACTTAGATCTTTCTGCCAACAGTACTCTTTGCAAGAAACAAGAACACTAAACATTTGTTAAGAGATCCAATTATCTAATTACATAGTAGGAAAGGGGGAAAAACCTGTCATCAGCCCAGTAGGAGGAATGATCAAGAGAAGGAAGAACTAGCGTTGCCTTCATAATCTTAGCAACAGCAACCATATCACATATCTGCAATCCAATGTATATTGAGACATTAGGTTATGCTTGCTTCCTAACTTTCTACGATATAGCATCAGAAATTACAAAGCCAGACCCCAAATCTCATCTGATTCAGGCCACCATTTGCATTTACAAGAATGTAGCCATTAGTCTTTGCATCTAGCTCTGCCAAAAAACAATGTTGAAAGTGAGAAGAGAGATCTTGGAGTAACCCATTACATGACAAGAGATATGAGTATACTTCATACTTTTATGATTACTTGGCAGATCTATACACTGGGTGAAATTGTCACTGTTGGGTTTTGACCAGACCACTGAATCCTGAATAAAAAAGAAAACCTTTGTAAACAAAAAGGAAAAGATATCTTTATAGGCCCATAAACAACCATTTTCTTTTCATTCCATGTAAACTTGAGATACAGATTTGACACTTACTTCAGTCTTGGCAGCATGGCTGCCATCTACTCCTGTTGCTACTGTTTTTAATGTTCGTTCAACATCACTTGCTCCCTCCCTATATGCATAACCAAGGGAGCGTTGGTCCATTAGATTTAGACTAGCAATGGAGTCGGATAGTTCCTGATAAAATGGCAAGATAATTTACTAAGATAAGATTATATCTACTTAATCCAGAGGATACATGCACGTGGTTTTCAAATTAGACAATGATAAATCTACTTAATCCACCCTAGATCCCTACATAGGTTATTTCACAATTCGGTGCAACATGACAAACAGACTAACTGTCTTCAGTAAACAGCAATAAACACACGACCCTCGAGGCTCCCCCCAAGTGAACAAACATCAGTACATAAAAAACAAAAATTAAAAACTCAACTGATTTCTCCGCTTCACTTAAGTTGTGTTAAAATGCGTGACATAAATGATATAATATTCTGCAACAACTTAGAAAGTGGGGCATTCCCACTGTTATTCCAAACAACCCAGTAGTTTATATAAAACCAGATAATTCCAAACACAAATAAATTATCGATACTCACAAAAGGACACAAATAAAAGGCCCAATTGCCCAGTTCTAGAACAAAGCATTAATACTAGCATGTTCACTCACAAACTAAAAGCTGAATAAGAAATCTCACATTTTGCGAAATTACATTTTCTTACGCCTGAAAAATGAAGGCTTCATATAAATAACACCAAAACCACGACAAGAAAAAAGCCAGGAGATGTCAAGATCAGATGAAAGAAAATCCAATTTAAGGAGAAAACTAAACTTTCTGCAACAACAAAAGTAGATCCACAATAAGCATAAGGGAATTGATAAAGCCTATACATGCTAAAAACCTCAGCTCCTCCCAAAGTTAAATTTTTAACACCAGTCTTCCTATAACTTGATGAAGAATCATAACATCGGGAATAAAATACTAAGAAATGACGCAAACCTTATTGGATTGAGTTCTTTCAACAGCAGATCGAAGCCATCCAGTGGCACATATTTTGAGAACACCCATGAAGAAGCACACCCCACAGAAAACCAAGAACATCCAATGCCCAATTTTCTTCCTTTCCCTCAGCCCCAAATCCTCAACGATGGAAGCAAGGGGCTTCTTCAGCAACAACCCCTTCACGTGCACTCTCTGGGTCACGTGATGGTGACTGTGCTTCGCCGGAACACCCTCCGACGCCTCCTCCGATCTGGGCGAGCTGATTTGGAGCTCCACCTCGCCGCCGCCGCCGCGTTTGAAGGAGTGGGCGCGGCGAGTCATGGGACCCGAAAAACGAGGACTGTTGACTCGCTGCGAGACCCCATCGGAAGTGTGATTCGGTTCGGAGAATATCGCCATTGAAGCTATGCGCGAGCTTTCTGCACTTGTATGTATGTATTTCTACTTGTATTGTATTGCATTCTTCTTTTTTTTTTTTTTTCTCTCTCTCTTCTTTATTACGCGTCGCGAATTCGATGTATGTGCACTGCACTGCTAGAAAGATTGTTCCTCGTCCTTTCTTTCTGTTTTCTTTTTTATTCCTCGGAAAATAAAAATTGGAATAACATGTGTCTCAAATTTGAGGATGGCGTAATGATTGATGTTCGTCATAATTATGGCTGCTGCTTGTAAATTGTAATTAAGGATGATTAAGGAAAGGTAGCTGTGCCTGTGAGTGACTGTAACTTCTTTTTTCTTTTTTTACGCAATAGCTCTCAGTGTATCTCATTTTATATGTAATTAATTGGTGTTTAAGAATCTTTAGTCATTTTAGATTCCCTTTTTCTAAAACAGCTCCCCTTTTACAATTTTAAAATCCACAATTATTATTTTTAATTATATTCTTATTTAATAGATGCTTTTATTAATTATATTAAAAACAAGATAACCGAGTTTAAATAATTGGATATTTAATAAGATAATTTTAGTTAAAATTTATGTTTTTTAAATATTTTTTAATCAATTGATATTATTATTAATATGTAAAAAATAAAAAAAACACTTTGTGTCTTTTAAATTTTTAATATTGTGAGAAATGTATGAAAGCTATAAAAAAGGTTAGATTGTGCAGTTGATTAAGGGGAAAAACCGGTTATGGTAAATAATATTTTTTGTTTGAATAAATAAAATAGAGTTACTGAATTATCTTACAATAAAAAATAAAGACGTGTAATTATCATTATAAATAAAAGATTAAATATTATTAAATATTATATCACCTTTAAATATTATTATATATAAATTAAATATATGAAAAAAATAAATGATAATTTGAGTTTCATTATAATTTATGAGTTTAATGATTATATATTCTTAAAAAAAATATTATCAACTAATTATAAATTAAGTTGAAAGTATGCATGAGATTGTTACAGTGAGGGTTGTAAGTATGCATGATATTATAGATTTTAATTTCAGCCACTATAATACACCGATGAAAACTAATAAAAAATTGTTATTGTTATTATTAAAAATTTTAAATTAATTATTATAAAAGTTAACAAACACATTTATATAGTAATTTATAATTAAAAGATGGTGTAAATATATAATTTATTTTATATTATTATATAAAAGAAATATTTCTCTTATAATAATATATTTGGATAACACAAAATAACGTACAATAGAGAAGGGGAGGAAAACAAAACAATTTGGGGAAAAAATGACATTTTGGGGGGAGAAGAATAGAAGGAATTATGCAAGATTTATGTGTGGTTCATATTGGAATTTATACCTCTATAAGTGTAGGAATTAGGGAGAAATTCCTTGCCTAAAGTTATGATGCCAAAATTGTCTAGACTTACTTTTCTTTTCTTCTCATTTTAACAAATGTATTAAAGATCACCATAATCGATTATGGTAAGATCATAGTCAATTATGGTAACATGTTGAAATGTATACCAAAGTTATATATTCGATTATGTAATGACATAATTATGAGGTAATTATAAAAATATTACATTGCAATATAAGAAACAAGGTATCATAATTAATTATGCTGAGTGACATAATTAATTACACTACTAATTTATACATAAAAGAAAAAGCAAAGGATAGAATGATAATTGTTTAAATAATTTATTTTTAGATAAAATTTTAACTATATAAAATATAATTTAAAATTTTTAATTTCTCTATATTTCTTACATAATTCCATCCAATTAAATAATTATAGTTTTGGCTCCAATTCTTACCTATTTTTATCAAATCATTTATCATATATTTCTTTTCTTTCCCTTCAAATCCTTCTTCTATTCCAAACCAAGAATTAATAACCATTTCAGTTTTCACCTTTTATTGGATCATTACACTTAAACATGCTAAGAAGGGAAAAAAAATGAAAACTCAAGATTTTTTAATTCTTCATACTACAACCTCTCTAACATTCTAAATAATTTTCCATTACCACCTACTCAGTTATATTTTATTTATTTTATTTTTAATTTATACATACCACTGATCTATACTATTATATATATAAAAAAATTTAACTATATTTGATCTCCATTTATACCTTTTACTAACTCCATATTATCTCTCACACACTCTGACTTGTAATTAAAATAAAATAAAAAAGTTACTACCGGTGTATCTCTTTTCTGAATTGGATCAATATTTCTCCGTTTTATTACTTTATTTTTAAACAAAATATATATAGAGATTCAAAATACTCATTCCATTTCCGAATATAAGTAAAAAAAAAAATCATGATTATTGATTTGAAATATAAGCAAATTTTAATTAATTTTATTATATTTAATATTACTATTTCTAAAATACTCATTCTTTTAATTGAGATTGTAGTTTTAATATTCCTTTTTATTTTTTTATATCAAGTTTCAAAACAGGACAATTTAGAAGAAGAATTATATTTTTAATGAAATTAATAAAATTAAATGATAGAAACTAATATTTTTAGCTAACGTGTTTTTTTTTATACTTATGTTCAGAAACGGGAGGACTGCCTCTTTTTTCACTACTTTCTCATTTATTATAAATTTAATTTATTATATAAGACAAATTTGTTAATTTTTATATTAAAAATCATACCTGTAGTTTTAATTAGTTAATAGTATATTTTTACTCTGATGATATATAAATTCATTATACAATGGTAACATTAAAGATTAATTTATCATTTTCAATATAAAAAATGGTCTAAAAGTTAATTAAGAATTATTATTAATATAATTTTAAAAGTATGATTTCTTTACACTTATTTATTTTCATATTTTTTTAGACATGATCTATCTAATATCCTAAAACTAATAATTAAAATTATTTTGTGTTTGTAAAATATGATTTTCGTTGGTCAAATATGTAACAATCAAAAGAAATATCAATAATCAGTTATTATGGAGTGATAAAATTAAAACATAATTGTAAAAGAGAAAGAATCTAATTGAAATGAAAAAAGAGACGTATTAGAAAATTAATAATTTTTATAAAATTTAAAATATTAAGTGCGCATTTTAATTTCTATGTTAAAAACCTTGAACATTAAATAAAATGAGAATAAAGAATACAAAGGTGAAAGTGAATGATAGTGTAAATGCATACACTATTTAATCCAAGATTAATCACATACTACTTTTTGTTAGAAGTAAAACAAGTGTTGATATTGTCGGTGAATGAATGAATGCTGAATAATATAAAAAAATCATAAGAAAATGAGATTTTGGAACCGGAATGCTACTAACCTATAATTGCAGCCTGTAATTGACAACCATTGTTAATCGCGCTGTTAGCTGGATAAAGCTTTCACGCACACAAACAGGATTAGGTTAGGACATGTTTCTTTTACTACAAAACAAAACACATATGTTGACTTAAGCCATCGAGTTCAAAGGGATTTTGAATTTTATACTTATTTTGTGTTTCTTTTACTTTTTTATTTATTAGATTCTGTTAGTTTTTTTTCTTTCCTTTGAAGATGAATGCACCACAAAAAATGTGATGATCCAGATTCGAAAAGGAATTGTGCATACATTAAATAGAGTTATTTAAGTGAAAATATATGGTTTTTTTTCCTAGAAGTGTAACATTCCAAGTTTTAGAATTTATTGTTGATCTTATTTTAATATATGTTGATAGGTTTAGTTGTGATTTTATTTTGAGAAATTCTAAAATTAAGGAATTTTTTATGAATTTTTAGGTAGTTGAAAATCAAGTTTGACCCTTAGGAAATGAGTATATAAGGTTTTTGTTTAGAATTGAGTTTCATTAGTTTAATTTCTTAGAAACTTAAAGAGATAATATAAAGAGAAATAGTTTGGGAGTCTTCTTCTTCTCTAAATCTTTTCTTGCAAAGGTGATTTTTTCCCTAAAATCTCATCTTAGGTTTGTTGTTTGTTGATTTAAGTCAATAAAACCTTTAATCAAGATAAGGAAAGTTAGAACTTAATTCTTGGTTGGTTTTGTTTAGAGTCGTGGGCCATGACCCATTTTGTCACTTTTAATTGTTTAGAGTTTTCCTCTTCCCTTCCCTAGTTCACTTCGATTTCGAAATAAGGGAAGTTAGAACTTAACTTTTGGTTGATTTTGTTGTTGTATGATTGTTGAATTTCATTCAAACATGGCTAAGTTGATGATGGAATGATGAAATGTGGGTGTTGAGAGTTTTTGGGTGTTTAAGCATGTGATGTGAGTATGGAATTTTGGGTGATTTGATCTCCTTTGTTGCATGTTATTCTAGTGCAAAATGTGTAACGACAAAAAAAAAAAAAAACGTACATCAGTTAAGAAATTAAAAAATAGAACAATTTTTTTTTTTTACAGTAAATAGAACAATTTTATTAAAAATCACGTCGGGTACATTATAAGTTATAATGAAAATACATTAATAGTAGTGTAATTAAATGTTTTTACTATCATCTTTTATGCGTTATTATTGATAGATATTTTTATTTTAATTTATCTTATTTTTAAAAATATTATTATGATGCTAATTATTATTTTTAACCAATTTCTCATCAGAACAGATAGAAAAAAAATAAAAATAAAAAGTAATAGAGAATTGTAAATAGAAAGAAATAAAAGAAGAAAAAAAAATTAATTCCCTAAACAGCAATGATCTAAATTTATTCTGTTATTGATTTGATTTTTTTTCTCAGTTAAGAAATAATAGATATAAATTATAATAACAGTTGTTAATCAATATTAATTAATATAAATTGTAACGAGTTGTATCTCTTAATTAAGATCTTCAAAGTTTGAATCATGATCTTGAATATGAAATAGATTATATTGATATGAAAATATTTATCTTGTAAACACACGAGATCTTTAACGAAAATTAATTACTATTTTTAATAATAGATATTTCTTATCAATAATATAATTATCAAATAATAATATTTATAATAATAATCGTTGTTGTGAAGGTATAGTTCAAATTTTCTTAGCAAAGACGTCATAATTTTTTGAGCTTGACTACTATATGCATATTATTTTTAGTACAAGGCCACATAAATGTACTAAGTATTATGCAACAGTGAACAATAATTTTTATTTGGTTTAGAAAATAGAATAATTTGTTGCATAACACTTATTAGTTAGGAAGAGTGCTGACTTTTATTTTGATAAAGGAAGATAAATAATCCAAAAATAAAGAAGAAGAAGAAGAAGAAAATTACATCCTTAGAAACGGCCCCTATAACATTAACTAAACGCAGAACTATAGTTTTTTGAACTTATTCCGATAAAAATAAAATAAAATAAAGAGTGAAGATGAACAAGAACAACATTAATTGCCTGAAAACGAAAGCCTAGCAACCCTTTTAGACTCCACTTATCGAATGTTACATAAATAAATAAATAAATAAATGTGATATTATTTTTTTTGTTTTTGGTAAAATAGGGAAGGAAAAAGAAAGATACTTGAGGGCCTAGTGTCTTTCATATTAGAAGAGAAGTTGTTATTTATACTCAGCTTTCTTATTTTTCTGATTTGTTTTCTTGTCGGAGCAAGCTTCATCAATTAATATAACCCAAAAGCACACGCAATTTTGTCGTCAGTAACAGAGTTGAGCCTAGAAATAATATAATACGATGAATGTTGGACAATAATCAATTAAAGGCCCAAGTCGGGAAGCTTGACCCAACGCTGCCCACCCTACGTCACTTCGTTGGCCCATCCTACTCTTACTTGTCGTACTAAAGTATCTGTTTCCCGTTCATGTGAACTAGGGATGATCAACTCTATCCAAATTCTATGGTATCTGTTAAAGAATATTCAGAACGAGTAAATACCTGCTCAATAGAGATGGGTCCGAAACTAAATATTTACCTACAGATTTTAATAAAGATGACTGCAGGTGTAACTATTATAGTAACCAACCCCTTCTATACTCACAATAACACACAAATAAATTTATATATATTGAAAAATAAGTTATGGTGATTAATATAATATTAAGATTAAGGATAAAAATAGGTAATAGCATTAAGTGTCTTTATTTCTTTTTTAAAAACAAATATATCCAAAGAACTACCAAAAAAATTATTAAAGTTTAATATATATATATATATGCAATTTTAGTTTAAAATATTTTACATAAATATTCAATAAAAATTATCATATTGCAAGATCAGATTAATGAATAGATATGGTAAAATAGTTAAATTTTATTACACGTAAAAAAAATTGCAACGACCGTGTATATAAATTAAAATTTAAAAATAATTCATATATACTGCTAAAAATATTTAGCCAGAACGGCCCGTACCGAGTTCGGAACGGCCCGTACCGAGTTCGGAACGGCCCGTTCCGAACTCCCAAATCACGCACAAAATCCACGCCCAAAACGACCTGTTCTGAAATCAAAACGGCCCGTTCCGGGACTCATCCGGAACGACCCGTTCTCCCCTCCAGAACGGCCCGTTCTTCATCCAGAACGGCCCGTTCTCCAACCAGAATGGCCCGTTCTCAACTACGATTTTTAGTTCAATTTAATAGCTTGGAACGGCCCGTTCCAGATTGGGAACGGCCCGTTCTGGGCTACTAAATCTGTCATTTTTTTTTGAACAACGTTACAAAATGAGTTGTTGAGAATGTTTGTGTATAAATTGTTGCAATGCATGTTGGAAATCTTTTGAGTTTTAGTTGGAATGAGCAAAATTGTGATTTTGTCAAGTATAGATTTCACTATCGTGTTAAATGCACCTTCATGGCATTGAGTGTGACTCATGTTGGAAGCTCTCTATCTCACTCACGTTGGGCCCAAGATTGGTGGCACTACGCGAGGGTTAAGGAGAAGTTTCTAACTTAATCACGTCAGACATGATTTGAATGACATCAAACGTGAGAAGAGAGAAATGTCTATGACTTGGTGATAATAGACCCCTAGTTGAGTAGTGTCCAACGTGGCCAAGTTAGAACTCTTTGCCTATACAATGTTGAGCATTAGTATGGTGACATCAATCGTGAGTCAAATAGAGACTTTCTACCAAAAATGATGCAAGGTGTAAGACTTTGTCGTGTAAAGCATGACAGCCTTAAGGCCTCTACCCCATCCATGTCAAGCATGGGTTGTATGACGTTGGGCATAAACAAGGCAAAGGTCTCCTTGTCTCAATGACGTTGAGCGTTGATTGGATAGTGTTGGGTGTGGGTTACCTTAATTTTAATTGTTGTTTTATGATGGAGCTGGTAATCACGAATATAGTAAATTAACTTGTTGCATGTTGTAGGTTGATAAATGTTTATTCTATATATATTGATCTAGATAATGTTTATAAATAATATTTGATTGAAAGTTGAGTTGAGTTATATGTTGATTAGTTGAATTGTTGTGTTGAATATACTTGATGCATTATGTTATATGTTGTTGAGATGTTGACATTGAGAATATTATATATATATATATATATATATATATGTGTGTGTGTGTGTGTGTGTGTGTGTGTGTGGTGTGTGTATATATATAAGAGCAACAGATGTCGAGAGGTCGATGATGAGGGATGAAACCGAAGAATTAAAACGGTTGCTTGATTACCTCCTCCACCAAAGATCTCATGTAATGCAGAGAGGAACATTAATGATGATTCAACTTTGAAAAAATTAAGAGTAAAGAAGCAATAACTTGCTTTATTTGCTGAATCAGCAAAAAAAAATGTTAAAAGATGTTGAAAAGTCTTCAAAAGTTGAAATTAATATTTCATTACAGTGTTCTATGGATGGTGCGAAGGATCATAGTTTAGAGCATTCTGAAAGGGCAATAATTGTCATTTCTATTAAAGACAATGATGAAACAAAGCAGATTCATATGTACATGGATGACAAATTTGATCAAAAGGATTGTCAAAAACATATGTAGAGAAATAAAGTGTGACTTGAAATATCATTCAAGGATATTATTGAAGTTCATGTGAAATCAAGTCAATATAATAAAGTATCATTTGTTTACTACTCCACTCTAGTAGCCTTTCAGTTGCTTACTTCATTGATTCAAAACAATTTTTAGTTTAATTGTATAACACACATTTTGACAGCATCTTTTAGCTAAGAACACCCTTTGATTTGGTAGATGCTTCTTTGGATTATGGTATAAGTTTTTGTTTTTAGATGTGCATTGCATTTGGGTTTTTGCAACCAATTTGGTTCATTGTTCAAATTGACGGATAATTATAAAATTATTTTATACATTGATTCGAATTAATGAAATGAAGTATCAAATGATTTTTAAATTTTCTAAAAATTTGCAAATTTGATCTATACATTAATAACCTTAAATTGAACGGTTGGATCGTTAAAATTTGATGTAGAATATGAGTTATTGAATAGAGTAAGTCTAGACTTACTCATGAAGTAAAAAGATCTCTCCTCTCTCTCTCTCTCTCTCTCTCTCTCTATATATATATATATATATATATATATACGAGGAGGGATATAATAACACGGATGTAACTTTTACTAAGTATTACACCGCTCAATAACTTTATATTAAATGTGAATTTTGAAAATACAACCGTTAGATTGAAAGTTTATATCTCTTAGATCATATATACAAAATTTTATATTAATCCAAGATGATTTGATACTTCATTCTTATAAAACAAAATTGACGTAATATATTCATTTCAAAATATACTAAAATATGAACACTTTGATTACCTTCAAGTTGTTTAATTTTAACAAAATTTGATATACACATATAAAGTGATATGAACTTTCAATCTAACGATTGAATTTACAAAATTCACAATTAATATAAAATTATTAAGCGGTGTAATACTAATAAAAATAATAATTTTTAAATTAAAAGACTAAAAATAAAATTATCTTAAATTTAAAGAACTAAAAAGTAAAAACATACCTAAGTCATATTTTTTTATATGTAAAATTTATATTAATGACAACATAATTCAAACCTAAAACTTGTACATATTATTTTAGCCTCTACATATATCATTTAATCCATATAATAATAGATAAGAAAAATTATATTTTTTTATTAAATTATAGCACCAATAGTGAATAGATAGTTAAACCAAACATTTATGAATAAAGAAAAAAGAAAAGAAGGAGAGAGGAAGGGGAAAGTGTAAGGGAGAAGTTTCCATGATCCCTTCTCCGTCCGTCATAATAAAATATTAACACACACACACACGTTCACGAGTCACGAGTCACGAGTCACGAGTCAGTTCCCTCGTTCATTCTTTTCCGCTATCATTTTCTTTTCTGTTGGGATGCAAATGCAATCGCAAAGGCAAGCCCCACCAACCAACCCTATATATTCCCACTCTCTCTTCCTCTTCCTCTTCCTCTTCCTCTTCTTCCCATTCACCAAACTAAACCAAACTGCGCAATGCTTCCGCACCACGATAAAGCCGCCCTAACACCACCGCCTCCACTTCCCAATCCTAACATCGAAATCGCCTTCGGATCCTTCGACTCCGACATTCAGGCCCTCATCGGTGACTTCTTCGACCACTCCAGCCCCCAATTGCCCGCTCCCGACGCCACCACCACTAACAAGAGACCAAACGATGATCATTCCTACGACGCCCTTTCATTCAAGCGCGGTAGGATTAATGACAATGCCTCCGACTCCGACGCCAACTTTCAGATTCAAAACCCTATCCCTATCCCTGTCCCTCAACTTCACCATCACGATCACGCTCACGCTCACGGAGAAGGGGAACAGGAGCCCCCCTTGTTTGAAATCGATTTTCTCTCCAACGCTCTCCGCGAACCTGAATTGGTCTTGATGCACAGTTCAGACGATAACGCGGAGTCGGAAGCTGATGATGAACCTTACCTTCCGTTGTATGGTTACAGGAGGAATCGGACCATGGAACGCTTCCGAAGGATAGCCAAGGAAAACGCCACTCACTATGCTCGATTTAACGCTGCGACCGAAGGCGAATCGTCTCTCGCGGTTGCGCCGCGGGAAATTGACGATTCCGTCACTCCGTTTTCGATCGCTCTGAAGGCGATCAGAGAGCGAGCGACGAAGAAGGGGTGGGATGCGTGGGTTTTCAATAGTGAGAATCGACCAGGGGAGAAGAAGAGGGTTTTGGTTCCCTCTTTGCAAGAACTGTGCCTTGGAATTCTCGCGGATAATGCTGACGCCATGGTTTCGCTCGAGGGGGTTCCGGATGAGCTCAGACACAAGCTTTGCAAGCTGCTCTGTGACTCCAGAAAGATGAATTCTCGTTTTCTCGAGCTTCTTCTCAGTGGGTCTCCCTCGGAGATTCGCCTCAAAGATTGCTCGTGGTTGACGGAGGAACAGTTTGCCAAGTCTTTTCAAATGTGTGACACTGGAAGATTGGAGGTGCGTGTGTGTGTTCTTCAGCATTTCATGCATGATAGTTTTTTTATCTTTGGGGTCCATGTACATGGTCTACTTAGTGTCCCAACCTTGATAACACTAATAACTAAGGATCAATCTACACCAGCAAGAGCGTAAGTTTCGTTGAGCAAATATTATTTTAATACTAGCGGAATCAATTCTGAGTATGATTCCCTGTGACATAGGGTTGACATTACAATTACTGGGCTAAGCATGGTTATGCATGATAGTTTTTGTTAAATGTTTTATTTGTCTTAGTTTTTATGTGTGTGCAATTAGTTTTTCTTTTAAGGTTTCTCTGTTGTTTAATATTCTTTTGTATGCTCTACTTGTTTTTTTTTTTTTTTTTTTTTTTTTTA